AGAGAGAGAGAGAGAGGAGCCTGGTCAGCCCTAGCCCATGGCCCTGACTGCCAGCCCCTTCGGCCTGGGGGGCGGCTCCAAGCCCCCTTGCCTCCCCTTGGGGCTGCTCTCGCTTCCGCTGCACCTCAGCCACGCCCCCTCCCTACCCCTGGCCACGCCCCCCCCAGGCAGGGGGATCCCAGAGCACAGTTCCACCTCTCTTCTCCCCATTGGGCCTCTATGTGACTGAGGCCCCAGAGTGCAGGGACCAGACCAAAGCGGGACAATGCCAGGCCCAAGCAGCCGGGGAGATCATAGAATATCAAGGTTGGAAGGGACCTCAGGAGGTCATCTAGTCCAACCCCCTGCTCAAAACAGGACCAAGCCCCAGACAGATTTTTGCCCTAGATCCCTAAATGGCCCCCTCAAGGATTGAACTCACAACTCTGGGTTTTAGCAGGCCAATGCTCAAACCACTGAGCTATCCCTCCCCCCAACATGGGGGTGACCTGGGTCCTCCTGCCCGCCTCGGCCTCTCCTGCAGTAGCTGGCCCGGTCCAATCCTGCGCATGGGGATCCCTCTGCCTGGGATTGGCTCGCCCTGGGCGTGGGGCCTGTCTCTCCCCCTCGGGGCTCAGGTGATTGTGGCTGCTGTCCCCGCTGGGTGGGATCCCGTCCCATGCCTGGCGGTGAGGGGCAGCGGGTGATGGGAGCCCCCCCCACCGGCGCTCCGGGGCAATGGCATTCCAGCTGGCGAGCCAAGCAAGTAGCCAGCAAGGAGGGTCTTTCCCCTGTTGTGCCTGAGCCTCACAGAGCATGTGTGCGGAGCCACACTGCCCCAGGGGGTCCCGAGATGGGGCCCACCCTCACCCCAGGGCAAGCTGGCACACAGAGGGCGAAGGGGCTTGCCCATGGTCCCAGGTGGGCACGTGGCAAAGCGGAGTCCTGGCTCCCCTGTGTGCATTGTGTGCGTTGCAGGTCGGACACACAGGGCGCTCCCCTGCGGCAGGGCGCGGCGCCCGGGTTTCAGGCCAGCCGCTTCCAGGCCTATAGAGGCTGAGTACAGAGTGCCAGGCTCTGGGAGTGGGGGAGAGCTGAACTTGGGATCCGGTTCAGCCTGTCTGGGCACCCCCCGCCCCCCAAACGACAATGGGCTTGTCAGGGCTTCGCGCCACAACACGGGCATGTGCTGGGCACCGGGCATGGCGCTTAGCAACCAGACTCACTGCAGGCAAGGTGCCCTGCCCCTCCAGTTGGGGTTGGATATGCATTTGCACTGGAGGGGCGTTGCATTGGCAATGGGGTGTGTGCATTGGGGGGTTGTTTGCATGGGGGGGGTGCCTTGGGGAATTGCATTGAGGGGTGTGTGACGTTGTGCCGTCTATATGGTTTTATAAAAACATGATAATAAGTGAATATAATGTAACTGGGATATGCTTCATGCAAAAGGTCTCTTGTAAGGTATCATTACAAAGCTTATAATCTACTGAGTGTGGTCATCCTATTTGTATAAATGTACCACTCTTGTATCTAAAACTAGAAATATGAAATATAACTCTGAGGGCCTATTGTAATTATGCAAAGTGTGGGCCATTAATGGTGGTTTGGAATCTTAATAACTCCCATTAACCAGGACCATTGTCTGCAGATGGCTGTTTACCTGTGAGTCTTCCTGTATACGTGTGTGCTGGCAAGTGGGTAATGAAGTCTTGCGGTGACATGTCACCTGACCTGGAATCCATCTTTAACCTGGTGCTTTTCCAGTGGGGTGGGGGGCAACCCAAAGGGACAAAGGTTCCCGCCTTATGCAAAAGATATATAAAGGGGTGGAAGAGAACAAAAAGAGGGAGGGGGCCATCATGAAGAATCCCCTAGCTATCACCTGAGCTGGAACAAGTGCTGTACCAGGGGAAAGAATTGTGCCCAGGCCTGGAAGGTGTCCAGTCTGAGGAAAAAACTTACTGAAGCATCTCTGAGGGTGAGATGATCTGTATTCAGTTTGATTAGACATAGATTTGCGCATTTGATTTTATTTTGCTTGGTGACTTACTTCATTCTGTCTGTTACTAATTGGAACTACTTAAATCCTACTTTCTGTATTTAATAAAATCACTTTTTACTTATTAATTAACTCAGAGTATGTATTAATACCTGGGGGAGCAAACAACTGTGCATATCTCTCTATCAGTGTTATAGAGGGTGAACAATTTATGAGTTTACCCTGCATAAGCTTTATACAGGGTAAAACGGATTTATTTGGGTTTAGACCCCATTGGGAGTTGGGCATCTGAGTGCTATGGACAAGCACACTTCTGTGAGCTGTTTTCAGGTAAACCTGCAGCTTTGGGGCAAGTGATTCAGACCCTGGGTCTGTGTTGGAGCAGAAGGAAGTGTCTGGCTCAGCAAAACAGGGTGCTGAAGTCCTAAGCTGGCAGGGAAAACAGAAATAGAAGTAGTCTTGGCACATCGGTTGGCAGCTCCCAAGGGGGTTTCTGTGATCCAACCCGTCACAGGATGCATGCATGTGTTTGCAGGGGGGTATTTGCATGGGGAGAGGGGTTGTGTTTGCATTGTGTGTGGTTGCATTAGCGGGTTGCATGAGCGGTGTTTGCATTGCGGGCTTGCTCTGGGGGGTGGCCTGCGTGTGTTTGTGTCAGTGAGAGTCCACTGCCTTTTACAGGGGCGCTCAGGTTCCCAGGAGCTACCTCAGAGCACGGCCCGGGACCCCAAGGGCCAATCCAAGGCTCCCCATGAGGGGCTCCGCCCACCCCTTCGCCTGGGAATTCCCACCCAAGAAGCAAGGCAGGGTTTGGCTGCAGTTGCTGAGGTTCAAGGATGAGCCCACCCCGGACCTTGTATTTTCGATTACTCTGCAAAAGCCAACAGGTGCATGCAGGGTGGGGCCAGCTCCCTCCCCGATACATCTTCCCCTCGGCCCTTCCTGCTCCCAGCAGTGCCCCCCACGGGCCTGACCAGCCCCTGCAAAAAGCCCAGGGCGGCCACCATGAAACCCACCAGGATGGGAGCCCCGAGCCATTGCAACGAACCACACAGCCCCGGGGACCCCGGGGGGGGGGGGGGGGGGAAGGAGGGACCGCAAAGGGGTTTGCCCACTGTCCCAAATGAGCAGCAGACAAAGCTGGGAATATAGGACCCAGGAGTCCTGGCTCCCAGCTGCCCTGATTTAACCATTAGATCCTACTCCCCTCTCAGAGCCAGGAATGGGACCCAGGAGTCCTGATTCCCAGCCCCCCCGCCCTAACCACTAGACCCTACTCCCCTCCCAGAGCCAGGAACGGGACCCAGGAGTCCTGGTTCCCAGTCCCCCCGCTCTAACCATTAGACCCTACTCTCCTCCCAGAGCCAGGAACGGGACCCAGGAGTCCTGGTTCTCAGAACCACCCCCCCCACACACCCCCTTGGCAGCTGCACCAATCCTGTAAGCAAAGCCCCCAGGCAACAAACGAGCCCCTTGCCTGGAGCCTGGTTGCCCGGCGGGGCTCTGCCTGGGCTGAGCAGGGACTGGTGCCCCACCGGCGCCCGCACTCACCTTGCAGGACGCTGGCTGGCAACTGGTGAAGCTCCTTGCCCACGGGGGCGCCAGCCGTCAGCTGCAGGAGGCAGACCAGCGGCAGCAGCATGGTGTGGCAGGTGGGAGCGCTAGGCTGGTTCTGGGCCGGCTCTTCCCCTCTGCCTGCCTGGCCGCTGGGCCGGGAGCTGGGGTCCCCCCCTCGCTCCTCGTCTCCACCGCTGCGTGCTCTGGAGCTGACAGGGGAACAATGAGTCCCGGGGCGAATGGCGTTGTATATATACAGTGCCCCAGGGGGGGCCGGGGCCGCGCTTTCCCATGCTGGGGGACACACAAACGGCTGAATTCATTAAGGCAGCGCCCGGCGGTGGTGCCAGGGCCCTGCCGTGGGGATGGGCCGGGAAGGTGCCGGTAAATGGGGGCGGGAGGGGAGCTGATCCAGTTGGAATTCATTAGGGTGGTGAGTTCTCCGGGCCCGGGCTGGCTGGCTTGGGAGCAGGGGCCTGGCTGCAGCCTTCCCCGGGCTGAATGAGCTCATTGTTCCCGGTCCCCGAGCGGGCGGCCCCATCAAAGAGCCCCCTAATGATCACAGGCGACCCGCGGGCCTTGATCATTTTCACGCTTTTAGCCTCGCCAAGCCGCTGTTGTCAGTTCACATCACTGCGGCCCCGGCACGGACTCGGGGCCCGGGCCCCCACAAACGGCCTGGCCGTTAGCGGCTGGGCAGGGGGCTCGGGCTGAGAATGGACTTGTCAGCAAATCCGGCCAAGGCCCCGGGGTTCTGGTGCCGACGCGCCCGCCCGCTCGCCCAGAACGATTTGTGACGCACGGCCTCGCCGTGCCCACAGGCACCCGCGCTGTCCTGTGACCTGTCGGGGAGGTGGCGATGGCAGGGCCTGGGGAGGGAAGGCAGGGCCTGGTGCTTGGGGGAGGACAGTGGAGAGATTCTCACTTGCTCCCTGGGATCCCCACCTGTCCCACACACCTCCCTGGCTCCACTACCCCCCCGCCCCTGTGCCCCCATCACCCCCTCTGAACACTGGGGCTGTTCAGCTTGGAAAAGAGACAACAAAGCAGGGGATGTGCTAGAGGTCTATAAAATCACGACTGCTGTGGAGACAGTGAATAGGGCTGTGTTATTTACCCCTTCACGTCATACAAGAACCAGGGGTCACCCGATGCCATTAAGAGGCAGCGGCTTGAAGACAAAGTAGAGGACATACTTTTTGATCTCATGCACAAATCACCTGTGGAACTCCTTGCCAGGGGATGTTGTGAAGGCCAAAAGTAGAACTGGGTTCAGAAGAGACCTGGAGTAGTTGAGGAAGGATAGGTCCATCGATGGCTATTAGTGAAGATGGTCAGGGACACAACCCCATGCTCGGGGTGTCCCTAAACCTCTGACTGCCGGAAGCCAGGAGTGGAAGACGGGGGTGAATCTCTCCATAACGGCCCTCTTCTGTATGCTCCCCCTGCAGCTCTGGTATGGGCCACTGTCAGAGGCAGGATACTGGGCTGGATGGCCCATGGTCTGAGCCAGGAGGGCAGAGCTCTGTATTTTGGAAGGGCCTGTCACCCATGGGTGCAGGCATAGCCGTCCTTAGGAGCCTGGCCTAGCGTGCTGGGATCCAGGGGCTGCGGGGAGAACCTAGCCCAGCTCAGCAGTGACTGGGAGTCAGGTAGGGTCACTCGCTGTCAGCCTTGCTGGGGAGCCCCAGGGCGGAGCAAGGGTGCCTCCCTGTCAGCAGGGGGGTGCTATCAACCGGGACTTTGGGGGGCAGGGCTGGGCCCCCAGGCAGGGAGCGCAGGGACCATCTGAGAGCCGAGAGCTCCGGGTGCCCTCAGGCCGGCCGCTTGGCACCACGCAGAGCAGCTGTGTGGGGGGCTGGGAGCTCAAGGCCTGGCGAGTTTCAGGAAGCAGGGACCCGAGCAGATCCCGGCAGGCTGGGCCAGGGGGGGTGGGGGGCATTGCCTAGTTCTGTCTGGGCTGGGGGGGGGATTGCCCCGGCCTGTCCGGGGCGGGGGGGGGGGCATTGCCCGGTTGTCTGGGTGAGGCAGACACTGCTCCCTGCTGTCTCTGGGCCAGGGGCCGTTGCCTGGCTCCCCCGTCTCTCTGCCGAGGTGCTGGGGCCTGCAGCCGTCTCTGTCCCGCTCTGCACACAAGCCGGCTGATGATGACATTGCGTTGCCTGGGCCTTAATTGTCCTACAATGTGTCCCTGACAATAGCCGCTTCTCTGGCGGATCAAAGCGCCGCGATTGCCGCGGGTGAGCCAGCCGGGGCTGCTGGCACTGGGACAGGGGCAAAGGGAAAGATGAAAGGCCCCGAACCACTGATGCTGCTTCTGCATGTTCCCACCTCGGCCCCTCCCCGCTTCTGGCGGCCGGCCAGGGTGGGGGGCACGTAAACCCTTCTGCGGAGGGGGGATTTCAGCCCCCCTCTTTGCAGGCTCCGGGTGCCTGGTGAAGGTGCCCAGAACGTGGTCTGTTGCTCTCAGCCCACGTCAGCCGTGCTGTGTCTTTGTCCCTGAACCCGGCTCTGTCCCCCCGTGATACTCCTAGGAGCTGGGACAGAGAGATCGCCAGCTCGGGTGGGAGCAGGGGCCTGGCTCCAATGGGGCCAGGGAAAGGTGCCAGGACTGTATAACACGGGGTTCTTGGGTGACCCTCTCCCCAACCCCCTGCTTGATCCCCTGGGGCGCAGGTGGTATCCCCTAGACATTCGGACCCTCTCCAGTGGGTCACAGCCTGCTCTGGTTTGGACTCCAACCAAGCCCTTGGCCTCACTGATACTTTGTGGCAGTGAGTTCCACTGGTTAAACTGCCATTGGTGACGGCCATGCAGCCGTCTCCCCCTAGCCTGGCCTGCAGCATGTGGCTCTGCTGACCTAGGGAGAATGCGAGACCCCCGCCCTGTGACATGATGAGGGTGCGAGCCCCCCTCCTGCTCCGTGGGGATGGAGCAGAGCCGTCAAGGGCAGAACAGGGCTGGGCCTGCGGGCAGCAGGCTGCAGGCTCCCAGCAGATAGTAGCGAGCCGCATTCCTGTCGGGAGTGACCCAATGCTCAGCGGGTCTCGGTGCGGCTCCGGGCCAAGGGCTGGCCGGCCTGTGAGCCCAGCTCCCCGCCAAGCCCCAGAGATGGTCGCTGGGGGGGGAGGATGGTGGTGTGCTGACTGGGCACCGTGTGGGGGAAGTGTTCCCGGCCGCTGCCTTGGATGGAGAGGCACACCGGTGCCATGCTCTCCCTCAGCCTCTCCGAGTCCCCCCCGCAGCCTGCCCTGTGGGCCCCCACGTCACCCCCACAGCCCCTCACCGACGTGCCGGCCCCGCCCCGTTCATTAGCCTAATTGGCGAGGCTCTCAGCAGCTGTGTCAGTGAGATCATGCTGGTTGTGTGGATCCCAGCCCTGCCGGCCCACCGGCCACCGGCTGGAGCCCCGCGCTCCCCCGGCCTGGCCAGGGCCCCTGGGCACGGTTCGGGGGGTCCCTGCCAGGCCAGCTGCATGCAGCGCTGCTCGGTCATGACTCATCGCCTGGTAATTGGTGTGAGCAGCGGAGCCCAGCGGCTGGCAGGGGAGGCCTGGGAACCGGCCGCAGGGCGAGGGACAATGGAGCGCAGACAATGGCTGCAGGTTCCGCAAACGCCCTCCCGTGACAATAGGGCTTGGGAGGCAGCCAAGGGGGCCCGGGGAGCCAGGAAGGGCTGGAGCCTCCCCGCCAGGCACAGCCCGCGTCCACATGCACAGCAGCCGGGCCCCGGGCGAGAGGACGCTGCTGCCACCTGCAGGCCGACGGCTTGGCCCAGCCGGCCCTTGATGCTGTGCTGCTGGGCCCGCACCGCAGCCCGAGTGCCAGCCTGGCGCAGGGAAAGGTGGCATGGAGCGATCCCCTGCCCAGCCCGGCTCCTCTACCAGCCCAGGGGGAAACTCCCCATGATGGTCCCAGCGCCAGAGAGCAAGTGTGACCCACTGGGGAGTGTTACAGGGTCCCTGTGTGCTGAGCCCAGGGCTGAGGTGGCAGGGGGCTGCGGGTCAGGAGTGAGGGGCACCGACAGAGCTGGGTGTGGGGAGCGCAGGGCAGGGGGCAGAGGACTGAGGACTCTGTCTCTGGGTGGAGGGGGGAAGGACCCCTCAGTCGTACGAGGGAATGTGCAGACTAAAGACACAGATGGGGCATGAGTGTATGGATGGTAAAATAAGGTAACCACGTAACAGTGTTTAGCCCACTGGGTTATCTTTAGTCCATGCATTATGCTTTTCCGGGACGATGGGTAAACATCCTCCCCTTAAAAAGACAAAAAGTGGGGGAATGTAGTAAGTGAAGGCCCTGATAAAGGCCCAGTCTGAGGCCTGAGGCCTGAACTAAAGAAATGGTCAAGACTTTGCTAACATAAAGCAAAGTTAAGCTGTGAGCCAAAGGCAGGCCCTGCTCACAGAAGCTGGCAAGGAAAGGGCTGATGCTGCAAAAAGAGACATACCTAAAAAGTACTGAACACTAGATATTAGAACACTCCTATACTGGAACATGCCACAGGTAACATGGAACAGGCCGACCCATCCCAATGACAGGGGCAAAAGGGTAAAATGATGGATAGAGTTGTTTTAATCGAACCAACATGTACAAGGTGAGAGGCGGCACCTTACTACGTAGAAGGGTTGCACCTTGCTGCGTAGAGGGGTTGCACCTCAATACGTCAGGAGTGATGTGTAACTTGTTTGTACCTGTGTATAAGAATGTATCCCTGGGGTGGTGTCTTTGTCCAGCCGAGGGGGCAGTGGAAAGTCCCGCCACTGACTGAGCTGAGTCCATTGCCGAGCGGCACTTTCTCGTAGTATGCCCTGACTTAGGCTAAGAAACCTACAGGGAACTGCAATTGTGTCAGGGTCGCACTAAACCTGGCCGAGGTGCCTTCGTACCTTACTAGACTCTGTGGTTATTGGGGGGTTCTCTTCGGATCTGCTGTGTCAGCTATCTGTGCAGAGCTGGGGCAGCACACAGAGGGAACACACGCACGCAGCCGAGTGATATCAACAGGAGAAAGCAGAAGCACCACACCGGTAGCATCTGACAACACTACCCACTAGTGGCTGGCTGTAAGAGGGAGGCAGAGCCT